AGAAACCCGCAGAGATACCGATCACCGCGTTCGACGCATAGAAGAACGCCGTGGCGCCACTGCTGTAAACCTTGGCCACGGTGTCGTAGTTCTTGTCCATCACCAGCAAAGACGCAGCGTACATGATGTAACCAAACGTGCCGATGAACAGCGTGTACTTAGGCCCGATCACGTTCACGGCACCGCCGGCAAACAGACCGAACAGCGCAAAGCAAGCGTACAGCAACGCCGTCGCGTTGTAATTGATGGTTTCGTCAGCCACACCGGCGGCAATACTGTTCAGTGCATTGAACAGACCAGGGCACGTGAAGCACACCATGGCCACGATCAGCACTTGGGTCAGTGCGGACGGATTCTTCCAGAACATTGCGGCTACAAGTCGAATTGAAAAGTGAGCGTTTGATGTTCGGCTTGCAAAAAGTTGAGGGGATTATTCAGCCCTACGTACTATCCTGATTAGTGGACCAACCAATTTCTACTAGTATTTGAAAGTAGGGGTTTTTATGCGATTTTACACCGATCTGTGGTACGCACAACTTGAGAACGCAAGTTCGCGTACGTATACCACAGGTCCGTACGTGCATTGTTGGTCTCACGATTCCCTGGGGTGTAGAAATGTGGTACGGCACAATACACCTACAATTTCACAAGTTGAAGGTACATGAAAGGACATAGCGCATGTGTTACAAACGCCCCTTATACCGTACTAGTATATCTCATCGACTAGTCCAACATACCGGTATGCAGCACCTCTGTACAGGGCTACTGTAAGCACAAAGTCCTCCAACACCCACGTCTCGCTCACGCTTGCATTGGTTTTACCTTGTCTTATTTAGATGCGTTCATTTCCTAAATTCGTCGTGACATAACACAGTAAATTCACGTTTGCCACATACGCTGGAGTGCAATACACTACAGTACTTGTAGTAGACACGAGTTGGACGATGACTACCCAGCCACATGGTTATGTTTCGAACTGATCATACGACAACAACCCACTCTTCATTGAATGCATTTACCACTAAACATTCGTCACACGTCAAGTTAGCTTGGAACTTCGAAGTTACTACTTCGAAATATTGTTTGCCCCTTTTTTAGCAGGTTAACCAAGTCACCTCCTAAATTAAATTAGGCAAAACCAATCTCATTACTACTACCTCCAGGCCTCCTAAAATAGTCGCTTACGACAAAATAAACAAATTAGTTTATTTTGTCGTCCTCGTCAGTGTTAGTTTGTCGTCTTACACATAAAGGCGGTTTAAGGTGCCAAAAAGGTCCATTAGAGGACTTCAGAAACCGGCGCAAACTTTATTTTGAGTCGATGCCGGCTCAAAATTATCCGGCGAAAATATGATTAATATTAACATGAGGCAAAGTGATGTCCACAGAAAGCGGCGCAAATCTCTACTCTTTGATTGGCTCACAGGTTGGTCGCGACCAACCACTTTAACTTTTGGCATGGGACCGAAAGGAGGAGGGAAGGGATGGAGCTCCCAAGAAGCGCTGAGCTTACTCGACTACATCGATAGACTGCTACCTCTTGGAAGTAACCACTGGGAATTAGTACAGACTGACTACAATACCCGAACCAGCCAAGAAAACAGTTAAATCCCAAGGGATGCGACAGCTCACTTGCCGCAGTGTAGTAGTGGAGGACAAGTACCAAGGCTTGGTGCCTGTGTGGCAGTTTGGGAGGGCGTCCTGACTTGAAAATCCCAACCTTCCAGGTGAAGTGCTTGGAAAACTCGTGGATCAGGTTGTGAAAGGCGTCGGGTGGCAAGGACACGGTTGTTATGAATGCACTGCGGTCTATCGTACCATACAACACTATCCATGGACTCGCGTTGGGTGGTACGAGGACATTGCTGGTAAGGTAGTGTCGTTCCTTTAAGGATATTCGTGCTCTGAACAAGCGGAGGTTGCTAAGAGCCTCGTCGTTGGCATCGTCGTCGTCGTCCAGCAAGTGCAACCACAGACATCGCCGGGTTGGATAAAACGATATGGACAAGCCAATCAGCTAACGTAACAGGTGGTAAGTTTTAACCAATACGATTTACGCAAATTAGCTGCGTTATAATTTTATAATTGTAAAGAAATCAATATTCTAGGTGCTGTAACAGCCATATAGGTCAAGCGGATATAAGGTATCTGGCATAGCAATTCATGGATATGGCCGGGTGAGTTCAAATCCAAATGTTGACATTAAGTTTTTTATGATCAATATCAAGGTTCCCTTACTATTACTGTAGAAACTTTCACCAATGTCCTATTGGATGACTTCAGAAACCGGCGCAAACTTTATTTTGAGTCGGTGCCGGCTCAAAATAATATGATTAATGTTAACATGAGGCAAAGTGATGTCCACAGAAACCGGCGCAAATCTCTACTCTTTGATTGGCTCACAGGTTGGTGGCGACGACCAACCACTGAACGGTTAAATCCCAAGGGACGTGACAGTTCGCATGCCGCAGTGTAGTAGTGGAGGACAAGTGCCAAGGCTTGGTGTCTGTGTGGCAGTTTGGGAGGGCGTCCTGACTTGAAAATCCCGGCCTTCCAGGTGAAGTGCTTAGAAAACTCGTGGATCAGGTTGTGAAAGGGGTCGAGTGGCAAGGACACGGTTGTTATGAATGCACTGTGGTCTATCGTACCATACAACACTATCCATGGACTCGCGTTGGGTGGTACGCGGACATTGCTGGTGAGGTAGTGTCGTTCCTTTAAGGATATTCGTGCTCTGAACAAGCGAAGGTTGCTAAGAGCCTCGTCGTTGGCATCGTCGTCGTCGTCCAGCAAGTGCAACCACAGACATCGCCTCATTGCTGCGAAGTTGCTTTATCCGTACTACAACAGTATCCGTACCAAATTGTCCGGACCCGCCGCAAATTTTGATGAGGCGCTTTTCTGACCCCACCAAAATTTGCGGCGCATTTGAATTATAATTCCGCATGATTTTGGTGGCGCAAAATAAAGTTTGCGCCGGTTTCTGAAGGGCGCCAAAAAAGTTCGTCGTGATGTTTATACTACAGTACCGGCATAGTCGCTTTCTGCTTGGCCTGGACGGCACCTTCCAGGGACAGATACATCCGTGCAATTCTCGTGCATCTCCCATTTGAGGATGGGAGATATCGCTCTCGTCAGCGACGGTATTGGCGAAGCAGAGGTGGTTAGGCCGCCACTGAAGGCGTACAGGTGGTTGCACTTCCCAGAACAGACGCTCCAGGTGTCCTCGAAGATCGTGTTCTAGTCGTGCGAGTCAATGGCTGCGCGCAGAATCTTGTCGTTGTGATAATACTTCATCAGTGCCTCGAGCTGGTCGATCTCCTCATCTAGTGCGGCGTCAGCACGTCGCACTCATACGCCATGAAGCACCGGCGGCGCGTCGGTTTCCAGCGGATTAGCAGGAGTAAACGGTTTACTCCTGCTATTCAAAAATATTCAAGGACGGAAATAGAGCTGCCTAAACACAGGCCTCACAAATATAATAAATAAATACCTCCACATACTAATTATAAGATAATATATTGCTTGTCGATAGTGAAGCTAACATACAATTTGTACTTTGAGTCGGACCTACATTCATTACTCCTAGTCCTCAATGGAAAGGAATTCCAATGCATTGACGATGTCACTCATCAACAAGTCCTGGATTGTCCAGAAGTCAAGGTCCAAAACATTGACGTCCGGTGGGTTTGGTGGTTGGCACTGCAGACGCATCGACCAACTATCTGACGTACACGCATTTACAACTGCTTTATCCCATGGCGCAACATGCGCACGCTCGTTGCCTTGCTGGATCACAACGCACCGGGTACTGTCGGCGGGCCAATTTGCCTTGATTGATGGGATGACATTCTCAACCAACATCTTCTTGTACACAGGACGCCTGACATTCACCAGTCGAATCTCCAACGTGCCAGGGGGGCGGTTGCGTGACAATCGAGCTGCTGGAACCACGTAGTTAAAGTGCCACGTGTTGAATTTCCCGTCGAACCATTCTAACTTGACTTTCTCCCAACAAGGTCGTCCAACGGCTGTCAAGAACATCACCTTGGCGATGAAGCATTTTCTTTGGGTCGATCGATGCGGCGGGACTTCGTCAGTCTGGACTTGATCCTCGTCGCGTGGAACCACTTCTCATCGATGTGGACGTAGTCGTACATGTCATGGAACTGAAACTTGTCGTAGGGGCGACCGAAATCCATGACCCACTTTACATGAGCAAGCTTATTAACCTCAGTTAGTTTAGGTTTGATGTTTGAGTTGTGCTTAACGATAAGGCCCCGTTTGTAGTAGTCTTTGAGTGTGTTGGATGGTATGCCAATGGCATGGGCAACAGCCATCAAAGTCCGCACGAATGCGTGCTGGCAAATCCGTGTACTTCTTTTTCCGTCCAACGCAGCCCTTTATGAGACTGGCCATGTCATTCCATATCGACTGAGCCGTAGGCAAACCCTCGCCTCCGAGGGACACGTTGGCGCGGATCTAGATGTCGGCAATGGTGTGGCGATTCTTGCCAAAGATCTTTGCCACCTCGTTGATAGCACCGCGTTGTAGTTTGCACGGTGCTTGGACAACGCGCAAGAGGAGGTGGTCCACAACGGCACGGCGCTGGTCCGATGTGAGTTCTCGCAATGATAACAAGCAATGAGCGCCTTGATTTACCGCTCAAAACATGATCATCATTCTGGTTTTACGGTTAATTTCAGATGTATCGGAATGACTTGAGTATAGAAATTTTCATTTTGCTTTCTGAAATGTAATCAACTCATTTTTTTGTGTATTCAAGCCAATTGGATTCGTTGATTTCAGCACTTTCAGCGTGTATTTTCAGATTTTTCTAACTTGCAATATTTTTGAAAATATTCAACTTTTCCCCTTATGGCAGGAGTAAAAAACCCGTCTGGAGGTAGTACTCCGGAGTACTACGTAGTAATATTTATACATATTGCTTTTCACCTTTGTTGGCTAATCTAGGTCTAAAACCATGCTTTAATAAAAACTGATCCTAAAAATTACGGATGCAAGATGAAGTATTTTTACGGTTCGCGTTGACTTATAACTATTCGTGATGCTTTGATTGGCTAAGAATTTGTGGAGGTATTGTCGATTTGCCGGGAATTTCCGGATATAGATAGGTTCAAATCACCTACTTTCATAAACCACGCGACGGCGTTTGATCGGTTTATCTGTGAGTTTGGCAGTTTCGCATTTGCGCGCCATTTCCAAATGCACGCCCTTCTGGCAGCTCGTCGATACCCATGAGCGCCATTGAGTCTGTTGCTTTCCCCGACATGCTAGCCCCAACACTATCATGTTATTCCTCTACGACTAATACTTCCTAGGGACGAAGAAGTCTTGTTTGGCAGTCCTCTATGGGAAGGACGAGAAAACGATTCATTTCATTCCACGACGCACCACCATAGAGCCGAACGTTGTCAACCTGACAGCGGATGCGTTGCGCTGACCGACAGTCTCTTTGATCATAGGCTCAAGTGTGAGCTCGTCAAACGAGGTTGAGTGCGCCCCCACCTCTGGTCGTAGGCTTAGACGTGGGCTTTGTGAGGATATCGTGTTTCTCGCGGGAGTGTCTGCAACGTCCATGGTGGTGTCCGCGTCAGGGATAGAAAAAATCATGATCCACGCGCGGACTCCGCGTGGATGTTGTGAGTTGCAGTGTGGCACGTTCTCTGAAAGCCTGTGCTGGTTTCGGAGTAGCCAATCATAGTCTAGCACGAATGGATTAGCCAATGGGCAAGGTTTGTGATAGGTTCAGTCGGCGAGATTCGATTCGACGGAATCTGGAATTCTGTACCAAATCCGCAATACACGATTTTGTCTTATTCAACTTGCTTTACAATGATCAGCATCGATATGCGTTGGAGATGTGTTGTGTCCAAGTTTATGGCACTGAAGTCGACGTCGTTCACCTCATACTTAGACTCTCACGATATAGCGTAACAAGATTTAACTCGATGTTTTCATCAATGTGCTGAAGTTGACGAAGCGCTCGACGGAGTCACGCTGGCCTGTTGGGGGAGCTTGAAGACGCGTTGCGAAACCAGTTTCCGACGCTCAAGAATGTATCTGCGGCAACGATATATAGAGCACTCATCCATGACTTAGGTTTGACGCGAAAAGGTATAATATATTTTCAGTATTTATTCGTGTATAATTAGTCTTAGAACGACAAGCACGACAGTCTGCCGATTTTGAGCTGCGCGATTGCTATCGGCGATTAAGCCCTTACTACTCGTACCCCGACCAGCTTGTTTTTGTCCACGAGACTTCCAAAGACGGACGTGATACGATTCGCAGGTACGCTTGGTCGAAGCGCAACAAAAAGGCGATTCTAAAATTACCATTCTCTCGCGGCCAGCGGGTGTCAGCACTAGCGGCATTTACAACGTCCGGATTTTTAGCGTGGGATTATGTGGACGGTATAATATTTTTGTCGTTCCATGTTTTTAATTCATATGTTAGGAACATTTGATCGTGCTACGTTTCACGATGTCATGGTAAAAATGATTCTGCCATATTTGAATCCTTGGCCGCTGCCGCGTTCAATTTTGATTTTGGACAACGCAGTGATCCACAAGTACAGTACAAGGAGCTGCAAGACGCAGTTCACAGCCGAGGTGCACTGCTATTTTTTTGCGGCCATATTCTCCGCAGCTAAATCCTATTGTGGTGGGATTAGTCAACTAAAGCGCTGGATTGACAAGTATTCCATGGCATTTCGCTTCAATGTCCGTGCTGTATTAGATGTGGCGTTTGTAGAGTGGACATAACGAATGAGCGGATAGGATACAATTTGTATCGCCATTGCCGGTTATGATACTACAGCGTTCGACCAAGAAACATTTCTAATCTAAATCCGTTTGAAACCATTGGAATATTTTATGCAAATTGTTTGACATTACTTCAAATTAATGTGATCAATATCCTCAATGTTCACGCTTGGTCCAACTACTTCCCCACTATTGGTTCCCGAAAGGATGGTGTCAGGCCGAATGGAGGAATTCCTAGGACGTGGAGATCTTCAACGGACAGAAAACAATCCATTGGGGCACTGGCCATCGTACCAAACCTAACACGAACCCTACGGTATGTTTCCGTGGTCTGGCCATTTATTTCGCGCCGCCGTTCATCGGCATGATGTGAAGCCATAAGGTCAATAAGACTGAGTTGCTGCATTATAGCACTTGCGGAGATTTCAATAGGGGCGGCTGACGACAACATTGCCGTCACAATGTTTGCATAGTCGGTTTGGAGAGGGCCAAGGAGTAGACTCTGGTCTTCAATGTATCCCGTAACGCGGGTTGCCGCAGTCACGAGGTTACTAGAAGTTGCTCGTCTAATCACTGTGCTCGTATCCTTTTCTATTTCATAATTTACACAAATATAATTATCGGGACACAATTTTGACATATTCATATATTTCGAGCTTTTACCGCGTAAATGAACAGCAGCAATGTGAACGATGCTTGAGCATTGCGGACCTTGCTTGCGTTGTCTCAAACTTGCCGTACCACATCGTTGTAGTTGTCTTGCGTTGTGTTGGTGGCAACCTTTACATCAATATCCTATGGTCCTTCCGGGTCCCACAGAAGCTTCGCGTGCGACGCATCAGCGTGGTAGTCGGCGATGGTAGTCGAGACGGTGTTGACGACCAGGGCAGAAACAACACCAAATGTAATCTCGCTGGTCACAGTGAGCTCGGTCGGCTTACCAACGCTCGTTCTACTTTTGCCCAAGGGTTCACCTACCTTGGCTGTGATGTGGCACCGAAAGCACTCCGGGAACGCGGCGCTCAATCGATCGCGCTGCATGTTGGTCTCGTCCACTTGCGAGTGAGATGGTCCAGTAAATAACGACTTTACTTTATTTAGCTCATGTGCCCACATTTTGAAAGCTGTTTTTTCAAAATCCCTGATTCGATTCCAAACCAATTGAAATAGTTCGAAGTTTTATATATTGAGTAGTTGAGGTGTTGCTCAATAAAACTAATTTATAGAGGAACATAATGTTCACACGAATATCGTACTCCCTCTGTCCCACAATTGTGGAGCGAATCAGTTTTTTGGCTTGTGCCTCCTTGAATAAAATTACGAGTCACTGCAAAGCATAATCTTGCCAAAGATAAAGTTGTAGAGTTTGTAACGATACAAAACTGTCTCACGCAACCCAAAACTGCCAAACACGGAATTCACGATTTCTGACGACGCCAATCGATTCAGGAGGGGGGTTTACCCCGAGAACCCTCCCACCGACCACACCAAGCCAGCCGACTACCTATGGCCATATTGTATACATATTGTATAATCAAGTGGAAGTTACGGCCATAACTTCCACTTGATTATACAATATGTACATCATCTATCTACTCATCTATACTAATTGGTTCAATGCCAATGTCATTCAGCACACTCATGACATCGTCGGAGGACTCGCTGTTCAACGCGATGCATTCCAGCTCAAAGGACAGTTCGTTCAACGATGCAGCCATTTCGAGTTCGCTCGCACACGCACGAACCACAGCAGCCGTGTCGACTCCAGCCAGCGACGCGCGCGCCATGTCGTACACTTCACGCGGACACACAACATTCCGAGGTAGGCTACCTTGTCTCGACTTCTTCACTTTCGCCATGTGGGGGATCTTGTAGGCGTTGTCACCGTTCACCTTCATGATTTCTGCCAAGCAGCTCTGAAGCGTCAAAAAGGTATGGTCGAGGCGCTCGTAGGGGTACTCATTGAACGCTTCCAAAAGACATGCCACACCAACTCGTCGATGGATCTGGCTGACTTTTGGTGCTGTAGGGCTTGGATGGCGGCAAAGAAGCCCAGGTCGAGGATATTGGTGTCGGGCGAATTTAGCGAGACATGTCCCCCCTCCCCAAACTCGCTCCACAATTTTGGGACGGAGGGAGTATATTGTAGGCAAATTTGACTAATTTCATCAACAATGCTTCATAAGGTAATAAAGGTATTAGGTTTTGGAGTGATCTATTTTATCCAATCAAATGAAATCTGGATTTCTATTGGGTAAACCTGCACGGCCTTCCATCGAAAGTTCGGCTCATCAGCGAGAGTTCACGTTACCGGTAGATAGCTAACCATTACTAGTATAAACGTAGCATACGTGATGGAGATCATCATGTTTTATTAATAACGTAAAGCGCCAATTTATGACGTACTGATCTCCCCCCAGATCGAAACGCCGGAAAATATTAAATCTACACAGTATATGGAGAAGAACAGGTATTAAGTATTGAAGAAAATGTTAACAGCCAATTAAACACTGACAAGTCACTCAATATGCAAATCGCCCATTCGTTGGCCAAAAGCGGCAAGGTCGCAGTCCAAAATTCTTGTGCGGGCCCAACAATTGGCGACAGTCGTTTGCGCCACCGAGCGCCAAGCATCCCGCGCCCACCCCATCGCTTCAAGCATCGAAACTTCGTACAACTTGTCCTGTCGACCCGTCATCACCGAATTGATTTGTTCTAGGGCATGCTGAAGTTGAAGCTGCTTCACCTTGGCCTTGAAGGAAGCGATGATTCCAGCATCTTGCGGCTGCAGGTGAGCAGTGGTGTTCTTTGGCAACATCTTCAGCTCGACGTTGGATAGGTGCAAATCGTCGTCGGCCTTGTGCGATGGGGCATTATCCACGAGCAGCAGGACTTTGCGGTTGGCTGCCGCCATACGTTCGTTCAAATCCGACAGGTACGTCGAAAAGATTTGCCCATTCATCCAAGCCTTTTTGCTAGCTTGGTACTCGAAGCCCAAGTCTCGACCGGACAGGCCACCGAAACACCGAGGCTGTTTGGCGCTGCCGACGAACAAGGGGTCAACCAGATCGCTGCCGTCCGCATTTGTGGTGAGTGCGACAGTGATCCGCTTCTTTGACTTCTTAGTTCCAGGAAGACGATTGCGCGTGATTGAGCGATGTGGCGACAAGCAGAAGAAAAAAGCGGTCTCGTCCATGTTGTATATGTCGCTGCTGTTGTACCCACTTGTTTCGTGTAGGACTTTCTTGCGACCTTCTTGGACCTTCTTGGACTTGCTCGGGCGGGACAGAAGCGGCCTCGCCATGCTGTATCATGCTGCGGAAGCCGTGCTTCCGTTGGAACTTGTAGAGCCAGCCTTTTGCGAACTTGATGCGCTGCGTCTCGGGTATAGCGAGCTCGATGGCGATCGTTGTTGCTTGTTTGCGGATTAACTCTCCAGTAATACATACACCGAGCTCTTCGCATCGAAGGACCAATTCTACGATCTTCGCCTCGACTTGCGGAAGGGCAACGTTGCAGTCCATGGTTCTGGCTTTGGCGTCGACGCGCTGGCTTTTAGTGTGGTTGCGTTTGATGGCGTTGCAGATCGTTGATTTCGCAGGCGTGGTGGACAGGTTGAAAGTTATCTTGGCCCAGTTGGCTAGTTCGGAGTAGTGTGTATGAGGACGCCGCAAATGCTCTTGGTAGAGTTCGTGCTTGTCCTCTAAGCTCATGCGCAGTTTCATCTCCCCAAGATTGATGCAGTGTGTCAAGATTTGAATTCAAAAGTTTTGAAAAGCCTTTGAAATCTAATGAGTACTCCCAAGAATAAGTTTTGAGAAAACATTGGTTTTGACCCGTTTCGATCTGGGGGGGAGATCAGTACAGTACTAACTTAGTTTAGATAGATCGTATGAAAATGCACCAATCGTACAGTGAACCTCTGAATTTGTATGCGTACAAAAAGGAAGGTTAAAATGTACGCTAACATGTAAAAACAATTGGCACTTAATATTGTAGAGGTTCCGAGTTTGAAATGGTTTCCACGGACTGCACGCCTTGTTTAAGAACAAAAGACATGACACTGTCAATCATGGGGTGTCACTGGGGAATTCTCTACATTTAGGACTTTTCAGAACTCAAAGTGATGAAGATATCCTCATTTTTTGAAATCAAATGAAAGTTGTATGTCACAAATTGGCAGTTGACGTTAGCGTCCTGTTCTGAGGTATATACGTAACACAGGCACAAGCATATACATCAACTACCGAATTTACCGTACACCTGTAACCCCCAAAATGTTTCCGAAATAGTTACAACTCAATGGTAAAGCTGAAATATATACCACTGTTGTTTCCGCGCATTTGAATAACTATGATTGGACAAAATGTATCGCGCGGTTTCACATTTATTCAAAGTGCACGACATACACGTCACAGGCAAAATGACTGCAGAACCACCACGTAGCCGCTCCAAGACAGGGAAGCGCAAGGTCATATCCTTACGCTTCAAAGTCAATGTCATTCAAGCTTACGAGGCTGCACTTGGCCCTGCCAATACATTCTACTTCAAAGTACATCATTGATTGAATGGATTGATTTTGCATTATCTAAGATCTATTGTACTCCTCAATGTGGTCCATCAGTACAGCTCTTACAAGTCCAAGGCACCTATTCGATCGATTGCGTTTCGAAGCTCTGTTATCGCCTCTGTAGTATTAGCATTCAATCGCATGACCTCGCATCGAAACACAACTACATCGTCGACGGCCAGACTGTCACCGCAAACCTCATGTGCAGGGTGGCTTCGAGTCCCTTCGCCGCTCGAGCAGCCAACAATGTCGACGGCCTTCAATTCCATCTCGAAGCAAATCGAAATTTGATTTTAACATATACCTGGGAACCGACAAATTGAAAGAGGATTGGGATTACTTTATTGGAGAGCCCGACATTTAATGTGTTGGGATTGGCTGAACGACAAGATTATTGAATTTCGATCGGTGATTGGACGATACATTAGTCGGTAAAGGACAACTTGTACATTAAACATGTACAGCCACCGATTGGTCGTGAGAGGCCGGATATAGATTCCATTGGCTAAAAATATACAGTCGTTACATATTTGAGAGAACAATATCCTCATTCAGCAACATGAACGCCTCCGCAGTACCGTCCAAGGCCACGATCCAAGGATTCTTCATATCCAAGTCCACCCTTCTCACGTATCGAACGTACCAGAAACAGTTTGCTGAGTACTGCAAACAGCTCCCAGGGGTCGAGCCAGAGGCGGCGACGCCGAGTGTCTGCACAGACGTTTTCCATCATCTGTACAGTCAGGTAAAAACGGCCCGCACAGTCGATTCGGCGAAGACAGCCCTCGTGGCCTTCTTCCACGACCTCAAGGTCATCCCCAACCCTGCTCGTGATGTCGAATCAAAGCAATATGTCGTCGGCCTGCAAAATTACAACAACAAAAAACAACATTGACGACGAGAACAAGGCCCATCCACTTTCGGTGAATGAGCTCTCATGCCTGGTAAATTCGTTTTCTACCTCCCACCTCTTTTTGGGTGCATTGTATAGATTTTTGTTTTCTGCAAGTTATCTTGGATGTTTTCGTATTAGTGAAATGCTTAACCTTACTTGGGATGACGTTTCTTTGATGCGCGACGGGGAGAGTCAGTATGTATCTATTCGATTGAGATGGCACAAGAAGGCCGGTGTTCAAAGTGATTGCTAAATCTATCATTTGATGGACGAAAAGTCCTTTCCCTACCTCCTCGTGTGTGGCTTGTTTTCCGACTACGTCAATGTCATCAAGCGTGCAAGCCCCAACCTGGCGTCTAAGTCCTTCGTGTTCCCTACCCACACGATGAAGTCAAATGGTGTGCCAAGGCTGAATTGGTTCAAGGCACTCGATCAAAATCAAGTACGATTGTACTTGAAAGATGCTGTTCAGAAGAACTCCGAGCTACCAACAGGTGAATTTGTCTTGTTCATATTAATATGCACTTTGTATTTGATTTTGTAATCACTATTTATTTGTTGTATAATTATTTCATCTTTATTTATTTTGCATTGATTGGAAATTGTAGGAATTACGCTGCATAGCATGCGCCGTGGAGGAAGCTTTTACCGTGTGTTCGAATCCCCCGAGCGCCGGTTTAATTTTTGAGAGCTTATGGCGTGGTGTCGTTGGGAAGATGCAAAGATATGCTGCGAATATCTCATTACAAGGAATATTTCAAATGAAATTGACCCGCGCAATCTCTTGCGGGTCAATGCTGCAAACTACGAAACAAGTTTGAATGCCATGGGCATGCAAGCCTTGGGTGATGCCATCGTCAAAGGCCTCCAGGGAACCATACAGTGCTCACCTGTGTTTGGCCCTGTGGCAAGCCTTGCGCCGACCTGACTGGCACCGGCGCCTGCCACAAAACCTGCCACGATCCCCCGACGTCAAGCGACGCTTGACTCTTTCGTTCTTCATGCAGTTGTTCCTACTGCACGGTCAGCTATGGATGCGTGGAATCATTGGTTTACCGGTGACCCACAATTGGGTGTGTTTCAGCCGCTACGTTCCTTCACGAAGGAAATGATCCGCGCCGACCGCCGCAAGTACTCTGAGCGCTTGACCCTGTCAAAGGCATTTGCGAAGTACGTTAGTTATGACATGTTTGAGTCAGCATTTGAGGGCCATACAAGCTCATACAGCAATACCTTGAGCGAAGTCCGAAAGCGAAAGCGCGAAGGACGTCTCTAATGTCACTTTGTCTTTTGTCAAATGAGCCTCCTGAAATCACACACTTAATTTGGCCAATCACGATCCATCAGGTCATAATTTTGTCCAATCATACCAATGTCGGGCTCAAACGTCGTGGGCGACAAAATATATCTACATGGTTTAACTGGTTAAATAATATCCAATCATGGCTGGGTAGTTACAAGTCAATGGTAAAGCTCAAGTTTGCTTAATCAGATCTGACTTTTTTTATCTTGAACAAAGTATTGGAAATTTTCATGGTTACAACTTAATGGTCAAAAATTGGGGTTACAGATATACGGTAAATTCGGTAGTTAAAAGGGCAACGCGCACGTTTTCGCCTTCCGGTTTCACTAGCGGTCCTATTGAGGTGACCATGGTGCTTTACTTTGACTCAGGTCGAAGAAATAACATCAACGTCGATGGTGCGAACACCAGCACACCTCTAACTTTAACCATCGTTATACCGGTACACATTTAGTTTACACTGAAACAACTTGTTTCCCAGTTTCAAATGGGCAGTGAATTAATGAATTAATTTAACTAACATAAGGACGACACCCCATACTGGTACAATATATCGCCTCATCCGTAAATTAACAGGATGGCATGGATTAACACTAAGGGTCTGGTTGAAGTAAACGATGAAATGCCTTATAACTGTTACTATAAATACTGTAGTACTAGTAAAGTCGTACTTCGAAGTACTACATTGCTAAAGTATTGTCAAGTAACTATTTTGACGCCGGCCCGGTGCGAAAAGCGTCTCCACCTATTGTTGAGGACAGCAAGGGCTGAATAATCCCCTCAACTTTTTGCAAGCCGAACATCAAACGCTCACTTTTCAATTCGACTTGTAGCCGCAATGTTCTGGAAGAATCCGTCCGCACTGACCCAAGTGCTGATCGTGGCCATGGTGTGCTTCACGTGCCCTGGTCTGTTCAATGCACTGAACAGTATTGCCGCCGGTGTGGCTGACGAAACCATCAATTATAACGCGACGGCGTTGCTGTACGCTTGCTTTGCGCTGTTCGGTCTGTTTGCCGGCGGTGCCGTGAACGTGATCGGGCCCAAGTACACGCTGTTCATCGGCACGTTTGGTTACATCATGTACTCTGCGTCTTTGCTGGTGATGGACAAGAACTACGACACCGTGGCCAAGGTTTACAGCAGCGGCGCCACGACGTTCTTCTATGCGTCGAACGCGGTGATCGGTATCTCTGCGGGTTTCCTGTGGACGGCGCAAGGCCAGATGTGCATGGCGTACCCCACGTCCGAGACCAAGGGCACGTACTTTGCGTACTTTTGGGTCATCTTCAACTTGGGGGGGTCTCTCGGGGGCTTCTTGTCGTTCGCGACCAACTACGACAACAAGGGCGAGGCCGCCACGACGTCGACGTACGTGGTGTTTTTGATCTTGATGTCGTGCGGCGCCTTGTTTTCGCTCGTGTTAGCCGACCCCAACAACGTCGTGCGTAACGACGGCACGATGGTCAAGGTGGAGCGTTTGCCCAACCCCGTGTCCGAGTTCGTGGCCACGCTCAAGACGTTCTTGGACCCCAAGATGCTGCTCATGTTCCCGCTGTTTGCGTACTCCAACTGGTTCTACCAGTACCACTCGTTCTTCAACACGTCGCTGTTCAACACCCGGTCCAGCTCGTTCGCGTCTGCGTTCTACTGGGGGTCGCAGATGCTCGGCGCGTTCACCGTGGGCAAGTACCTCGATCGCCCTGGCAGCAAGAAGCCCAAGGCGTTGCAGTCCATCTTTGTGATCGCCGTGCTCATCATGTTGATGTGGGGCTCGGCCATGTGGGTGCAAGTGGAGTTTGACTTGGGCAACGGCAAGAAGGACAAGAACATTGATTTCCAAGAAGGCGCGTTCTGGCTCAAGTTTTTGTTGTACATGTTCTACGGGTTCAACGACTCGATCGTGCAAGTGTGGGCGTACTGGTTGATGGGTCAGTTCTCGGACGACATGTCCACGCTGGGTCGCTACGCCGGTTACTACAAGTGCGTGCAATCCGGCATGGCTGCTGTGGGCTGGCGTCTGGGCGGCATCCCCATCTCGCCCGTGTCCAACATTATTGTCAACTGGACGCTCTCCACCGTCGGTCTCGTGCTCGCCTTCATCTCGGTTAAGACGTACATGGAAGAAAAGAACCAAGACGAAGGCTTGGAATCTCCTGCCAAGGACAAGCCGTTGATTGCCCATTAAATGGCTGGACTCGCGATGCAGTTGTGGTAGTGATATGCTATTAAGATATGTGTTCTCTCAATAACTTTGTTTAATTGTCTGTCTGCTCGGTTGCAAACGTCTTGGCCGTTTGGAGATAGCCGTCGCCAGGGGTTATCAAGTATCTATTTTTTATCTAATGTCAACCAGTGGGTTGATATATTGTTAATCTTTTCGGGGGGATAATTTACATTTCCCCCTGGCGGAAATAAATACTACTTCGAAGTACCTCTGTTACAGTATGTAACTATTGCAAGCAGGAACAGTTGGGCAGCTTCCTGAACTCGGATTGGCAAATGGATTGGTGATACTTTTTCCTATTGGTCAAATGAGTCTACCACCATTCTTTTATGAAAAATATTTCCCTTTTGTGAACGTAACGGCGACGTAAAAATTCAATACAAAAACAAAGTTGATAACTTCAGATATTTGTATCGTGGATTTGTATACGAGGTTTTCATATAATATTTGAATATATTTTCTGAATTCTGTCAAATTTGCTCGAAATGTATCGCTTTGATTGGTCAAATATAGAATTTGAAGAAATCACCAAATATATTGCCAAATCAGTCAAATAGATAGTCATTCGTTTTCACTGCTCGTGTGCTCAATAATATGTGCCCTATTGCTCTCCTACAACGATGGTATGCCAATGCGTTCTTGTCTGCCCAACAGAGAGTTGAAGGCATTACGGGTATCACAGTTCCATCGCTGCGCCATAAAAAGTCGCTGCGACCAGTTGGGTCGGCAACGCATCCTATGGAGGCAGAAGAAAGCATTGTGAATTAACTGAACGAACTGCGAGGCGAAGGCATACCTGTAAGTAACCTACTCCTTCAAACGCGAGCCCTTGAAGTTGCTCGCGACTTGGGCTTTACGACAAGCGACTTCAAAGCCAGTCCGTCCTGGATCAAAGCCTTCATGAAGCGTTGGCGACTTTCAATGCGCGCAAAAAGCCACAGCGGACCAGCCAACCTAGAACAAGGCGAGTCTACGCTTGCTGCGTTTTCTAAGCGTATCCGCCGCGTCGTTCGGGACCACGGAATTGAATGTGTATATAACGCCGATCAGACCAGAGTCAACTATGAGTACATACCAAAGAGGACTATCGACGCAAAAGGAGCCAAAACCGTTTGAATCAAAGGTTCTCGCCACGAGCAGGACCGCATCGCGGTGATGTTCTTGGCTAATAGCGTTTACAGTCGCACCGGTGGGGATGCTCTGATAGTTTTGGCACAGCATGTTCATGTTGCAATTCAACAAAGTTATTGAGAGAACACATATCTTAATAGCATATCACTACCACAACTGCATCGCGAGTCCAGCCATTTAATGGGCAATCAACGGCTTGTCCTTGGCAGGAGATTCCAAGCCTTCGTCTTGGGTCTTTTCTTCCATGTACGTCTTAACCGAGATGAAGGCGAGCACGAGACCGACGGTGGAGAGCGTCCAGTTGACAATAATGTTGGACACGGGCGAGATGGGGATGCCGCCCAGACGCCAGCCCACAGCAGCCATGCCGGATTGCACGCACTTGTAGTAACCGGCGTAGCGACCCAGCGTGGACATGTCGTCCGAGAACTGACCCATCAACCAGTACGCCCACACTTGCACGATCGAGTCGTTGAACCCGTAGAACATGTACAACAAAAACTTGAGCCAGAACGCGCCTTCTTGGAAATCAATGTTCTTGTCCTTCTTGCCGTTGCCCAAGTCAAACTCCACTTGCACCCACATGGCCGAGCCCCACATCAACATGATGAGCACGGCGATCACAAAGATGGACTGCAACGCCTTGGGCTTCTTGCTGCCAGGGCGATCGAGGTACTTGCCCACGGTGAACGCGCCGAGCATCTGCGACCCCCAGTAGAACGCAGACGCGAACGAGCTGGACCGGGTGTTGAACAGCGACGTGTTGAAGAACGAGTGGTACTGGTAGAACCAGTTGGAGTACGCAAACAGCGGGAACATGAGCAGCATCTTGGGGTCCAAGAACGTCTTGAGCGTGGCCACGAACTCGGACACGGGGTTGGGCAAACGCTCCACCTTGACCATCGTGCCGTCGTTACGCACGACGTTGTTGGGGTCGGCTAACACGAGCGAAAACAAGGCGCCGCACGACATCAAGATCAAAAACACCACGTACGTCGACGTCGTGGCGGCCTCGCCCTTGTTGTCGTAGTTGGTCGCGAACGACAAGAAGCCCCCGAGAGACCCCCCCAAGTTGAAGATGACCCAAAAGTACGCAAAGTACGTGCCCTTGGTCTCGGACGTGGGGTACGCCATGCACATCTGGCCTTGCGCCGTCCACAGGAAACCCGCAGAGATACCGATCACCGCGTTCGACGCATAGAAGAACGCCGTGGCGCCGCTGCTGTAAACCTTGGCCACGGTGTCGTAGTTCTTGTCCATCACCAGCAAAGACGCAGCGTACATGATGTAACCAAACGTGCCGATGAACAGCGTGTACTTG